ATTTTATTGTATAAAGTTAGTTGTAATTAATGATTTATTAATCTGTGTGTTTTTTGTCGGTGAACAAAATTTTTGGGACAGAGGGAATATTTTAAGAAATTCTCAATAGTATTATGATGAAAAGAGTAACCAATTATACTTGGCCATCAGTTGCAGAAACCACCCATCTATGTCGATCCATTATTGTTTGTTTGTGTGTGTGACACATGAGGTATCCAATCAATTCATATGCTTAAGATTACATATTCTACGTAAACTGGTAGACAAGTATAAGTACGTTTCCATTATGTGTTAAAATGTCATTATATGCCTCATATCAATAAATAATTCAAAGTACATTGCAATTTCATATTATTTCCCTATATTTCAAGTCTATTGCTCATATCATTTTGTTATTAATAGGCTTGGAAGCTCTTTTCTTCGAATGACTTTGGTTCTATTTCAAAGGTTATTCAAAATGTATCCCTGGAGTGGCAACATGTATGTTAATAAATTCCATTTACTTATTTTGCTAAAATTACATGTAGATAAAAGTTCATTGGTTCATTCCTATAATTTAGTTCATCATGGGGATATATATATATATATATATATATATATATATATATATATATATATATATATATATATATATATATATATATGATTTGTATGTGTATTCTGAGCTTTCACACCGCACAGAGCAAATCTATACTCCTGGTCAAAATATGGTACCCGATCATTCCGTGGTTAAACTAGATCCACACTGTTATTTAATTTCTATAAAATGTGACCCAATCCTACATCTTCTAGAAATTGTCCTCTTTGGTACCTTAACTTCAAGCTTTAGCACATCGGTCAATCACTCTTTAGATCGAACATACTCTCTATTGCCCATACTAATTTGCCCAATATCACATATATGTTCATGAATTGTTTCACTAATTGTATTTAAGTGTAATGGATTTACTTTTTGACCATAATAAATCTTGATGAATATTAAAAGAGTAAGGAAAGTGCGGGGTGCACACTTATTTAAGTTTATTCAATATTAAAAGTAGACTGTTATTTAGAGGCAAATCTGCTAAATGAAGGGGGAGGGGGTCCGGGGATAGCACTCCTGGGAGCGGAATCTAAGGGACGGAAACCATGGAGGGTCCAAGGGGCAGAGCCCCTGGCTGGGGTCGAAAATAAACCTCGATTTTTGACATTGATTTGATCTTATAGAAAACTCGAATTCGTGACAGTTTCTGACTTTTGGAAACTATCTTATGACAATTTTCAGATATAAAACTGTTATGTGATAGTTTTTTGATGACGAATGTACTTAACCATATTTTGGTCATAAATATGGTACTTATGAAAACCATAACATCCCATTCTCTTCTTCTGTTTTCCTTCATTTTGTAGTCTTATCCAATTGAGGATTTCAGGAGTACCACCAACTTCGATTTGAAAGTGTTTAACACGATTCTCAGAATTCCAAGTGCTATTCTTACCCCAAATTTCTAACAATATAGTCCATTCTCACTATATCACACATAAAACTTTGCTTAAAACAAAAAATAGAGAAGGTTTCCTTCAAACCATTCCAATGTAAGATTGGTATATTAAGGATTATATTTAATCATACAACTATTTCGAAATCAATTTAAGACATATATTTGTTATAGTTTCTCAAATATAAACTAATTAATATGATATACATATATATATATATATATATATATATATATATATATATATATATATATATAAGTTGGGGCTAGCCCAATTGGCTAACAATGTGTCTAAAAGCAGTTACTAACAAGGAGGTTATGAGTTCAATCTCATACATATACTAACACATCAGAATATCAAATTCGGTCCCTAACTTTTTTCAGTATCATGGGGGTGCACATGGTTTCCATTTCTATCATGTTTGGTCCCTCATCAATATAAAATGACTTCTATACCCTTTTTAATTTATTTTATATTTTCTTTTATTAAAATTTAAAAATACAAAAAAATAATAAAAAATAAATAATCCCCTCACTCACCCGCCTTCTCCCTTTCATGACCCAACAAATCAACTTTACCCCAAACTACCAACGACGTCTCACCGTCGGCTGCCTACCTCTTCCCTATAGGTCCCGTGAGGAAACCCACCAAAAACCTTGATTCGATGTCGTCTAAAAATGGAGAAGCTCAGAAAACATTATCGTGTGGAGATGAGAAGACAAGACGACAAAGAAGTATAAGGGTCTTTTTTATTCAGGTCCATTTGTAGATTCGATCAATCAAGACGATGATGAAGTAGATGGATAAGATGAAGTGAATGAAGATGATGTGTTATTGTATCCTAAAGGAATCAAACAAGCAACCAGTTTTCCTCTCAAACGATGATATTAGGGTTTAACCGATAACAATGTTTTAGCCTGAAAAAGAAATAGAAACGACCTTCGGATCAAAATCCAAACTTTTTTTTTGCAAATGGTTGATTTGCAGGTGTGTGTGTGTGTGAAAGGACATGATACGATGATGAGTTTAATAACGAGGAAGATAGGTCTGGTAGAGAAGTTGATTCTAGCGATGAGTGGTGACTAGAATGGATGGATATTATGGGGCATGTGCTTTTGTAAGTGCATAATGGTGTGCTGGGTGGTGGTATTACAGGTGGTTGGTAGGGGGTAGGAAGAGTGGTTGATGGTGGTGTTTCGTGGATGATGAAGGTCTTTTCTGGTATTGATTAGAAGTTATGGTAGTGTTGGAATGGATGGATCAAGGTGGTCAACCGTTTTTGTGGTAAGGATGGTTACATGATGGTAGTTGAATGAAAGAATAAGGGTGGTGGATACAATCTCCGACGGTGCTCCGGTGATGATAAAGGTCTTGTGTTGGGGGTGTTGACCGGTGGTGGTAATGGAAGAAGGGAGAGAGAAAAGTGCATATGGTGATGATGTTTAACGGTGATAGGCAATGTTGTGGTAGACGGTGGGGGTGATAGTGCCATGGTGGTGGGCGGTGGTGGTAATGGTAAAGCCTTTTCTGGTGGTAATGTTGATGGTTGGTGTTGGAAGATGGTGGTGGTAGTCGGCAGCGAAAGAAGAGATAAGAAAAAGGTTGACGTTGTAGGATTAAACTGAATCCTGTTTTAATAATAATATAAATATAAATATTAATTTTAATTAATAAAAAAACTAAAAGAAATTAGAAATGGTACAAAAGTCATTTTATATGAACGAAAGATCAACCACAGTATAAATTAAAATCATAATTCATGAGACCGAAAAAATATAGGGATTAAAATTATTGTTATGAAAAACAACCATTTATGAAGATTTGTCTTAAATGAATAATCTATTTTCTCTACACAAAAATTATCTTGAAGATATTTTACGTATTAGAAAAGACCTTGAACGACTTTCGGCCATTTGACGAGTTTCCGTTTTAACTACTTTTTATTTTTACTCATATAACCCTAGAAAAAAATATGTGACTAAAATCAATTCGTTTACTTATGATAAGTCGAAGTTGTTACGACTAGAGGTGAGCGCGGTGCGGTTCGGTGCAGTTATTGGCCAAAACCTTACCGATAACCACAAATGCGGTTAATCCGTTTTCAAAACCGCTTGGTGCGGTTATTTTTGCGGCATGGTTAGGCGGTTATTTTTGCAGTGCTGTTTTATTTTTGTGTGTTTCGGTTATTAACCGCATGGATTTGATGCGGTTATTTTGTGTGGTTTTTAACCGCATTTTAGAGTTCAAACAGTTTTAAGAGTTTAAAAATATTATTTGTAATAATAAAAAACCATAAGGTATAAAAAAACAATTAACTTAAATTAGAAACAACTAATATCTTAAAAACTTTAAATCACTAGTAATTAACAATAAATATTTTAAAATTGTCAAATTTCACCATTTTCCAAAGTTAAACATACAAAAAACCAACACTTTTGTTTTCTAAAATTTTATCGTTTTTTCATCCATGAAACTTGTCTTATTTTTAATATTTAATATATTAATAACTAATAAAAAAATTGTATATAATATATGCGGTGCGGTGTGGTTTTTTGCGGTTTTTGAAAACTAATAACCGCACCGCACCGTAAATTTGCGGTTTTTGAAAAACAGAGAACCTCACCATCGGTTTTTATTGCGGTTGCAGTTAATCGGTTGCGGTTTATGCGGTTTTTGCGGTTAATTTTAATTGCGATGCAGTTTTGCTCACCCCTAGTTACAACCAAAGCCTCTACATACTATACGTCACTATGTCGAAGTCAAAACACTTAACCAAAAGCTTAAGCTCGTAACACAAATATTATGCAACCAAACATATAACCAAGGTTGTAGAACTCGTTACTCGGTACCTGTTCGGCCGACTACTGAGTAGCGAGTACTCGGGAGTACCCGGGAGTACTCGGAGAGTACTCGAATTCGGTAATTCATCTAAAAATATTTTTAGGGATATTATATATGTCAAAATCATAAGTTAAAATCATAAGTTGATTAAAATATATAACATAATTAGATACATATGAATACACAAGAACTGAAAACACATAATGGTCTCATTCCGTGAATAATTACTGAAAATTTAAGATATATGTGTAGTAATAATTAAATGTGTGTGTGTTAAATAATAAATCATTAAGTAAATTATACATATTAATCACCGAGTTTACTGAGTTTTACAAGACTGATCAGTTCAGTAAGGGCTGATCGGGGAGTACTCGGGATTCTGTAACTCGTCTCGGTGTGCCGAGTAGCGAGTACTCGGAGGAGTAATCGGCCAACTCGGCGAGTTTTACAACACTGCATATAACCATATAATAACAAACACATTAAATTTCCTTTATTAACTTGAAATGAGATATAATTCCCATTGAATCTTTACTTAATGCCATATAACACACTTAAAACCAACAAAAACTCATAATACATATATAGCTTGACATGACATACAATCGATACTGAATCTAGCTAAGATTCAAGTTTATTTAGTTATTATATAATTTGTTGATATCACAAGTAGTAGTTAATTAAGAGGCAATTATCTGAATCTTCATGCCAGCACCACAATGACCAGGGAGAGTGCAAACGAAGTTATTAAGACCCTTCACAAGCCTAATTCGGTCTTTTCCACTTGTGTACACTTTTGCATTTCTTGGGCTGCTGCTGCACCCATTATACCCTGCCTTGTTCACTGCGACCACATTGTGTGCTCCTCTCTTGTAGTTGAATACTGATTTCATGATAAAATTATAATAAAATATAAAATAAGATAGTAATAAAAACAATATTAATGTCACGTCATCTAATTATCTGCTTAACCCATAATCATATTCTTATTATCGTAGATATCTAAAATGGTTTAATATGTACTCACTATATATTACATATATACAGGTGAATGGTGTCGAGGTTAATTGGGGGAGGAATACTACTTAGAGAAAGAGTTATGCGTAGTTTTGCAACAAGCCTCGTAATGGTGTCTGGCTATTAGGCAAATATCAGTTAACATACAGACAATTTATTAAATAGTGCATGTAAATATATGTAGTCAAGTTTTTTATTTATAAAAGGTGATAGAATACCAAGCACGTCCCCAGCCCTGAAATTCTTGCCATGGGGCCAGTTGGAGAGGTTAAAGGTCCAGCCACTACGGCCGCCAACGACATAGGTGGCAGCCTGAGCTACCTGGCAATGAAGCACTGCCGCCACTAGGCAGAGCACCACCGCTGCTGCCATTGCACTGCCTCTTCCCTCCGTCATGGTATGGTCAAAACTTAAAATAAAGAAGTGATGGAGGGATGGTGTTCTAATGAATTTTGTGTTTGTTTGTGGGAAGTATGGATGGATATATGCATCCAATTTATAGGAAAAGTATATACTTTTTGAAAAAGAAAACATATATTATTATTATTATTATTATTTTTATTTTGAGTTGTTTCCGAAAATAAACAGACACAAAATTGTTTAAATTTTTTGAAATTTTATTTATTTTCTTATTAACAACTAATTTATAACCCGTGAGAACCACAGTTATAAAATTAATTAAACTTTCATATTAAAAAATAAAAATTATTAATCAATTATTTTAAATAAATTATTGATTAAGAGATATTTTTTTTAGTTATATAAATTATAATCGTTGATTTAAATAAATACGTGAAGTTATATCACCTTATCATCTGTATTAATTTTATTTTATTTTTTAATCTAATGTTATTAATTTAATATAATTAAAATGAAAAATTTTAAAATTTGAAATTTAAAATAGAGAATCAATTATTAATTTAAGGAAATTAGAGTGAAAAATTTAAAATTTGAAATTTGAAATGGATAATTAATAGGTTTACAAGTGGCATGATAGACATATAATATTAATGAAGAGTTTTAATATTATGACACTTGTCAATATGATAATAAACCTTTTTATTTATTAGAATAGGAAGATTGTCAAAATACGTTACCAAAAAAATATTAAATATGATATTTATTGATGCTACAAAAAATAAGGATTTTATAATTTAAATCCAAGGGTTTTTAATAATTCTTAACAATATTGATCTATAAATTTAATTAAAAAGCATAAAAAAAACTTGTCGACATGAGAAAATTTTAATATTTTTATTATGAGACGTTTGGTGAAAATTACTATATTGTTTTATATGGTAAAGTCTTATGGTTGGAATTTTTTTTCCATCAAATATCATCATTAGAACTGGTTAATACCGTTGATTATAGTTCACCTTTATATGAATTCGTTTTCCTTTTGTGAACATACTCTTATGTCTTAATTATAAACATTCCAATTGAATCATATATTGGGTGATGTGAACGTAGTTAGTAATGACAGCACAAAAGTTGATACAGAAGAAGAGCACTATGTTAGACTTAGGTGGCATATGGTTTGATGTCCAATAATAAAAGGTTATATTAGTGTGCTTGTAACATTGAATAAGAATGATTACTAAGATTTTCAAATATTGTTATTCCGTATGCTAGTTTGGTTTGGAAGATATTATTTATTCATGACTTGATCTTTCTTATTAACTAGCGGGTTTGAATGGGTTTGGACCAAAAAAACAGTTTTTAAATGTCAAACACTTAAAGAGAAACCCAATAAAAATAAGTTTCTTAAACATGTATGCACCTATTAGATTAATAACAACATTTGCCTTGGCCATGATTAGATTAATAGAGTCTTCACCTCTTGGGTTATATTTCATGGGAACAATCTGTGTGAGTTAAAAAGAGTAAGCAATGACAGTTTCCTTGCATTGATAATTAAGACAGAACCTTTGGTACGTGGCAAATGTGTAAAAGACGAAAGCTCTGGACAAAAAGTGCAACATTACAAACTGCAATTTGGCACATATTGGTTAGTTACCTTCAATGTTGCAATCAAGAGCAACATAGCAAAGCTTCTTAAGGCCATTAAATATTCAGTATATTCATATCGATTATGGAATGAACCATTTCATTCCATTCTAATTTCTATCAGATTATGGAATGAACCATTCCATTCCATTTAAAAGTAATATATCAACAACACTATCTAAATCATACTTCCTTCATATTCCATCATATGTTTTTAAGTCAAACACCAAAATATCCTTATAATATGTATATCAAAGTATATAAAACCTATTAAAAAAATATTATAAGCAAAAATTTAAAGTTTCTTAATTTTTATTATAAGATTCCATTTAATTTCCTACCAACCAAAAGCATGACAGATTCCATTCCTCACAAGAACTTTCCGCAAACGAAATGAGATGGATACGTTTGAAAATTTAAATTTAAATTTTTTACTTTTAGGAGAGAGAGAGAGAGAGAGAGAGAGAGAGAGAGAGAGAGAGAGAGAGAGAGTCTACCTTTAAGAAACCAACTAGAATGGAAGACCTTGTTGCATACGAAGCACGAGAGGTATTTTTTTCTAGTAAATATAATCAGTTATGAATACCATCTGCATAAAGTATGAAGGGGAACCTAGTTATATAATGTGGAAATGTCATTATAAACATCACTGAAAGATCACTTACTATGTCCAGGGTACTTCTTTAACATATCTTTATATGCAGAGCAAAAAAAGTCCATTAAGGGCGGACATCAATTTTTTTTTATAAAATTTTGTTTGTTTTGTTTCATTGGGACAGAACTGTAAGAATGTTACTATTAATGTATATTATACAAATGGATAAGTAGCATGTTATAAGATCAACATAAACATCAATGAAGACCATTATATTTCTAATTTCATCTGATGAAGTAACTGTGAAAAAAGTAAATTTGGAAACATTGAGTGAAAAACCTAGAATTTTGAGAAAGCATACCATTGATTCGAACCTTCACCATAGGACTTTCATGTCCACCATAAGCATTGACTGTTATCCCATCGTATACCTTTTATAACCTAGAACGGCTTTAGGATATTTCTAGTAGTCCCAAATTTCGTTGCTTTTTTCGTTATTACATCAGTATTATCACAAACAAAATTCATATCATCTTCTATTACCTTTGTTTCATCTTAATTATGTTGTTGTTGTGCGATTGTTGTATGATAACATCAAAGCCCTAAGAAAATGAATTGGTATGTCGATGAAATTTCAAAACCGGGAAACCCATTCCCAAAAAAAATCAACATCGACACACTAGGGATTTCTTATACATAGTAATAGAGCTTCAGATTCTTTGCTGATCTTAATTTCCATTTTTTTTATTCTAAGCTCATATTGCACTTCGTTGGAGGTACCATGAAGTACAGTTTAGAGAGATCTGTCTTGAGCTCCATTGGTTTCATCGCCTACTCTAATGTTGATTGTGGTAGATGTCGAAAGCTGATGATTTGCCTCAATTTGCAAGATCCTTATTAGAATGAAAAATTCCTATGCGGTTTAACAATTTTGCGTCAATTTGCAAGATCCTTATGAGTCCCACTTCAGAATAGATCAGAAGTCGAAAGCTGATGATTTGTATTATTATGTGAGATTGAGAGTTCTTGAAGAGATATTTTTGAGCGAGTTCTCAGAGAGATAGAGAGAGAGAGAGAGAGAGAGAGAGAGAGATAGAGATTTAGAAAGTGTGTTGTTTTTGAATCATTGTTCTTAAACATAAACCCGATAAATAAAGTATGTTATTTGTTTTTCAAACATATGTGTTATTATTATGCGTTTCATATTGATTCATACACAAGTGTTAGCGTTAGGGACCAACAAACTTGGTGATGAATAAAGCTTATGGTGCTTGGAGAAGTCATGTCCAGCTGAAGATTCCACCTTCTAATCCATTCTCAAGCATCGTATGTCCTGAAGTTCTTTGGTTTATTCAAATTCATGCTTAGATTTAAGTTTTAGGTGGGATTTTGGTCCCTTTTAGCTAATTAACCTTGATGTTCTTTGATTTTGAGCAAGTATAGAACCTTAGAATGGATGTGAGTAGTCTTTTTGCCATTTGAGAGTAGAACAATGTGTGTGCATGGATTTCCTTTGATGCATTCACAAGTTCATTGTCATTTTGAGCTTCTTGAGAGTTAGGGTTTGAGATTCAGCTTGAATGAGCCTTAGATTTGGAAAGGCCCTTCTGAGTTTAAGATCTGAAAGTTTAAGCGATGGTCGAAGGTGTTAAGTGCTTAACGAAAGTGGATTATGCATTAATAAGAGAAGTGTGACAAATGACAGGTCGTGACACGTGTTTGGAAATGAATTCATGACTATTTTATCGTCAGAAAGTGTGTTCTTTCTGAATGTTTGTGCTTAAACATAAACCCAATAAATAAAGTATGTTCTTTGTTTGTCCAACATATATGTTATTATTCCACGTTTCATATTGATTCATACATTAGTGTTAGGGCTAGTGACCAACAAACTTGGTGAAGAAGAAAGCTTGTGGTGCTTGGAGAAGTCATTTCCAACTGAAGATTCCACCTTCTAGTCCCTTGTCAAGCATCGTAAGTCCTAAAGTTCTTTAGTTTATTTAAATTCATGCTTATTTAAGTTTTAGGTGGGATTTGGGTCCCTTTTTTTTTTCCTTTTTACCTTGATGTTCTTTGATTTTGAACAACTCTAGAACCTTAGACTGGATTTGAGTAGTATTTTGGCCATTTGAGAGTAGAACAATGTGTGTGCATGGGTTTCCTTTAAGCTATGCACAAGTTCTTGGACATTTTGAGCTTCTTGAGAGTTAGGGTTTGTGATTTAGCTTTAATGAGCCTTAGATTTGGAAAGACCCTTTTGAGTTTAAGATCTCAAAGTTTAATCCATGGTCGAAGGGGTTAAGTGCTTAATGAAAGTGGATTCTGCATTAAAAGGAGAAACATGACCAATGCGATGTCGTGACACGTGTTTGGAAACGAATTCACGACTATTTTATCATTCAAACGTGTGTTCTTTCTGAAAGTATATTGTTTTTTTGTCAGGCATATGTGTTATTCTTCCGTGTTTGATGTTGATTTATACATAAGCATTAGGATTACGGACCAAAAAACCTGGTGAAGAAGAAAGCTTGTGGTGATTGGAGAAGTTATTTCCATCTGAAGATTCCACCTTCTAGTCCCTTCTCAAGCATTGTAAGTCCTAAAAAGTTCTTTGGTTTATTCAAATGCATGCTTAGATTTAGGTTTTAGGTGGGATTTTGGTCCTTTTTAGCCCTTTAACCATGATGTTCTTTGTGTTTGATCAACTCTAGAACCTTATAAGGGATTTGAGTAGTTTTTGGCCATTTTGAGAGTATGAAAATGTGTGTGCATGGGTTTATGTCACACCCCGGGC